TTACTAAACACTGTCTCTGGCTATCTTGCTGTACTGCTGTACTTCTAACTTGAACAACTACTGAAACTAACTGCAACTATAATGTGAAACTAAGTCTGACACTATACTCTAACTGAGTACTGCCACTATACTCTAACTGAGTACTGCCACTATACTCTAACTGAGTACTGCCACTATACTCTAACTGAACAACACTGCGAAGAGCAGCTGTATTTATACATTTCAAAAGTGGACGGCCTTGAATGGTTCACTGCTACTTTGACTGGCAGGCAGAGGAAAAGTGGACGGCCTTGAATGGTTGACCGCCAACCCCTCTACTGGACACCACAATCCCCTCTTTAGTAAACTGATACCACTTACAAGCCATTCCAACTTAAGTTTCAAAGTTCAACACACACACAAGAATGTAAACAAAAGGCTACAGCTTACTGCAGCAATTTTACCATGAATTTTAAGGCTATGTAAAATCGTTACNTGTGACCTCCTTTTCTGCCCCATGTATATACAGCACAAAAAGCTAGCAGAAAAACCGTTCAAATATCATTTTCGGGTAATTTAAGCAATGTCTTTTGGAAAGTCTCTTAATTAGTTATACTATTTGAAACTATATGCTGGCATTCGGTTGGTTTTGTGGCAAAAAATTGACTTCATATACAGCTCAATATAAACTGGAACTAATCCAACATAGCTTTTTCCTGGCTGGTTGGTTATCCAGTTTACGCGCTCGTTCCCTTTTTTTAATTTTCTTCGTACGAACCTCCGTCAACATTGTAGAAGAGGCAACATCGATTATGTTTTCAAAACACTGGTTTTGTTGCATGTAACAACTAGTATTTAGATCTCAACATAACAGATCTACAGCTGCAGTAGTCAGATTTTTGGCGACGACAACCGCATTTAGTCGGCTGTTTAGTGACACATCCCCTCAATTGAGGTCGCCACTGTCGTGGGACGTTAACGTTCACATGCGTTGACATCGTGTATTAGAACGGGGAAACGCATTTTGAGATGTTCAATACCGGTAAAATTAGCTTCATGAGAATGTGTTATTTGTATTGCAATACTGGCAGGCAGTTTGACCTAGATATACACGTGTACGTGTTGAGGAGGTCTGCTGTGCTGCAAGGGTTGAAATATATTTATTAATAAACACTGTAGTAGGACTCAAACTACATGTAGGGCGCCGGGGGACCTGTGTGTTGACAGTGCGACTAGCTGTATATTCTACGTGGATTACTTGAATCAATGTAATCTATCACGTTTTGAATTTAAGAGGATTCCAAGGAAAAAACGACGGGCACCTGCCCCTCCCTCGGCGTCTGCGGTACCTCCACTTGAAGAGGAGACCAAGTGACACTTTCATCTCTGTGCCCTATTAAATTATATTAAAGCCTGTCCAAATGTGGTTAGTTACTGTAAAAAAGATCCCGAGTGAAGTGATATTTAATATATAATTGTTACCTTTCTGTTTCATCTTTACAAAATGCAATTTTACTAGAAAAAATTCATAAATCTCTTGCTCTGCTTATTTACCCATTGGTGAGTGAGTGCGTTTATTTGTGGTTCATTTTTGACCAGTGATAGCGGCCAAAACTTTAGGGATTTTCGTTTCAAATATTTTTTGCAAGTAGATGATGGACCCAGAAATAACTAAATTGATTTTCAGTGCAACCACTGGGGTTGTTGATGCTTAATTCTTTACACATAATAATTGCTATCTTCTCCTATACCACTCCTAACAATGAGGATATTTCGGTATTAAATAGAATAATAATCAGGGATGTGCATGGGCACTTAGGAATTCTGCTGGGCTGTCTCTTAGTGTGGTTGATTCTGATTTTTCACATTGTTATTGGTGTTATTTTCACACAATTTTAGAAATATTTGCTTCTTATGATTGTCAAACTAACAAAACGATTCGTTGGACTAAGATACAGCAAGAATTGGAAAACTCATTGGGTTCTTTTTCTGGAAGATGTGCGGTTTCTTTGCAAGATTTTCTTTTTTCACATATTGGCATTTTCAGTGTGGAATGTTGAAACTCAACGCATGAAGCCACAAGATAGTTATCGAGTACATTATCTGAATGTAACAGCCACATGTTATGCTTAGTAAACAATTGAAAANCTAAAAATCAATCTTATAAAAATTGCATAGAATTATCAGAAAGATGCCTGTAAATAGTGAAACCCAATCTGTATGGCTGGTACATATTGTACATGGTATATCCCGGTAAGTAGATATGCTGAAGAGTTTGTTATTTAGAGCACGCGGGTACATGTATGGACTGTCACCAGAACTGAAATCAGCCAACTAATTAACGTGATAGAATAAATACAGTATAAAATAACTTACTTTTCACGTAAATCTCCCAGTCGATAGGGCAGCCCTGTTAACTTGGGTAAACAGATTAGAGCAGAACCGTCACCTTGACCTCATGGCGTTAGACTATATCGTTAAAACAAACAAACTCGGTCATTTGTGTCTATATCGCCATAGAAGGCGGAGAAGGGGAGGTCAGTAGAAAGATTAAATTACTGGAACTCACCCTACATAGCTTTTTCCTGACTGGTTGGTTATCCAAGAAACACACGCGCTCGTTCCCTTTTTTAATTTGCTTCGTACGAACCTTCGTCAACATAATAGAAGAGGCAACATCGATTATATTTTCAAAACACAGGTTTTGTTGCATGTAACAACTAGTATTTAGATCTCAACATAACAGATGTACAGCTACAGTAGTCGGATTTATGGCGATGACAACCGCATTTAGTCGGCTGTTTAGTGACACATTCTCTCAATTGAGGTCGCCACTGTACTGGGACGTTAACGTTCTCATGCGTTGACAACGTGTATTAGAACGGGGAAACGCTTTTTGAAATTTTCAATTCCGGTAAATTAGCCCATGAGAATGTGTTATTTGTATTGCAATACTGGTATGTAGTTTGACCTAGATATACACATGTACGTGTTGAGGAGGTCTGCTTGTGCTGCAAGGGTTGAAATCTATTTATTCAAATACACTGTAGTAGGTCTCAAACTGGGCAGTTGGAGGACCTCTAGTTGTAGCATATTCTACGTGGATTACTTGAATCAATGTAAGCTATCACGTCTAATTTAAGAGGATTCCAAGGAAGACACGACGGGCTCCTGCCCCTCCCTCGGCGTCTGCGGTACCTCCACTCGAAGAGTAGACCAAGCGACATTTTCATCCCTGTGCCTTATTTATATAATGTATTACAAATCGTAAATCACTTGCTCTGCTTGTTCGCGCGTTGGTGAGTGAGTGCGTTTGTTTGTGGTTCATTTTTGTCCAAATATTCGTTTCAAATATTTTTTGCAAGTAGATGATGGACCCAGAAATAACTGAATTGATTTTCAGTTCAACCACTAGGGTGGTTGATTCTTAATTCTTTACACGTAATAATTGCTATCTTCTCCTATACCACTCCTAACAATGAGAATATTTCGGTATTACATAGAATAATAATCAGGGATGCGCAAGGGCACTTAGGAATTCTGTGCGAATTGGGGTTGGGCTGTCTTTTAGTGTGGTTGATTCTGGTTTTTCACATTGTTATTCAGGCCCGTAGCCAGCAATTTCAAAAAGGGGGTTCTTTTTCCGAAAAAGTGGACCTTTTCCTATAAAAACTCCATGTACCTAGATCAAATTTTACCCAGAGTGGACCTTTTCCCAGCAAAAGGCGCAGTTCTTTCGAACCATGGGCACTTAGGAATTCTGCTGGGTTGTCTCTTAATGTGGTTGATTCTGATTTTTCACATTGTTATTGGTGGTATTTTCACACAATTTTAGAAATTTTTGCTTCTTATGATTCTCAAACTAACAAAAACGATTCGTTGGACTAAGATACAGCAAGAGTTGGAAAACCAGCCTCATTGGGTTCTTTTTCTGGAAGATGTGCAGTTTCTTTTAAAGATTTTCTTTTTTCACACATTGGCATTTTCATTGTGGGATGTTGAACCTCAACGCATGAAGCCACATGATAGTTATCGAGTACATTATCTGAATGTAACAGCCACATGTTATGCTTAGTAAACAATTGAAAACTCTTGGTGATTATGCTCTTTATCATGTAAAATTGCATAAAAAAACTATTCTGTGGACTGCCACCACAAATGATATGAAATGAAAACCGTTCTACTTATTATTTTGTAATTTACAAAGATGATTCTTAGGTTTAATATACAGCTCAAATTTGAAAATCAGCTTATAATTGGATTTTTTTTTTCTTGAATTTTTTGCAATTTTTTTATTCCGAAATTTTCAATGTGTAAACAGGAACTCTCATGGTCCTAAAAGTCTTGTGTCAGTTACATATTTCTGATATCCGTGTTACCTCTTTTGCATAATTAAAATCTGGAGTTAATTTTGCTCTTAAGCATAATGTTTGATTGCATCACAATTGACAAAATAACCTATTTTGTGCATTATTATTTCTCCTTTTTGTCTGTACAGTTGACAGATTTGCTGCCAAGTTAAAGTTTCATTCCTTGTTTTTTTCTAATTCAATGTTTATGCTTGCCTATCTTTTCCANGTTATGCTTAGTAAACAATTGAAAACTATTGGTGATTATGCTCTTTATCATGTAAAATTGCATAAAAAACTATTCTGTGGACTGCCACCACAAATGCTATGAAATGAAAACCGTTTTACGTATTATTTTGTAACTTACAAAGTTGATTCTTAGGTTTAATATACAGCTCAAATTTGAAAATCAGCTTAATTGGATTTTTTTTTTCTTGAATTTTTGCAATTTTTTTATTCCGAAATTTTCAATGTGTAAACAGGAACTCTCATGGCCCTAAAAGTCTTGTGTCAGTTACATATTTCTGATATCCGTGTTACCTCTTTTGCATAATTAAAATCTGGAGTTAATTTTGCTCTTAAGCATAATGTTTGATTGCATCACAATTGACAAAATAACCTATTTTGTGCATTATTATTTCTCCTTTTTGTCTGTACAAAGTTTCATTCCTTGTTTTTTTCTAATTCAATGTTTATGCTTGCCTATCTTTTCCTAGTTTTCCTATCCGTGTTTCCTTTAAAGTTCAAATCACTTGGGGGCAAACAGTGTCCTTTATTGAACCATTCTGCCAGCTTCCCCTTGGCGTACCACGTGACCGGTTCGCTGGGATCGTTCAGCTTTGCACACAGTTCGCAATACGACTTAAGACGTAAATCTACATCGTAAACACTTTTCCACTCCAAGTATTTTACATAAGCCGTGACATTATTAGCTAGATAATGAAGATAATGTGCCAGATCCTTCGGTGACTTGAAATCATTTGTGGAAATGTGCCAACTTGGTTGTATTCCTACTCTGGAGTAATTTGCCGGACTTCCGCGCGTTATGGGTACAATGTTCTGTCCTGCGGTTTTCCAAAATTTGTCTGATATGTAGTCCGTCGAGATGCTATTTTCGAATGAGAGGTAAAATTTGTATTCTTTTTTCATTTTAGCTTCACATTTTTCATTTTCTCTCTTTGAGCATTTTAAAGGACCACAATTTCCGTAAATGTCCACTTTGATGTACTTCTGCAACTCTCTGACGTAATCCTCTCGTCTGCTCTGAGTATTACAATTACTGACAAACCAAGCCACCATTTTGGTTTTCTTCAATGTGATTTCCGTAAAGTTTTTGATCAAAGGTTTGTCCCGTTTTTTTAGAAAAAACCATGGTGCAAAAATATCCGAATCCCTCCGAAATGTCATCGTCCAATTAAACATTCCCTCCCAAACTCCGCCATTTTCGCCGGAGTTACACGAGCTCTCGTGCGTCACCCACACCCAGCGCTGGTGAGGCAGTTTTTTAGGTTTCTTTCCCAAACTTCTGGCTATAAAAACAATAGCGTCGCTTTTATCAGCCAAAGACTTATCCTCAGTGTAGATACAGTTACTGATTGGGCAGCCCAAGCTCTTAAACTCCGGTTTTTTATAAGTTCTAAGTGTCATATAGTCCATGCCGGGCACTGGAGTCCAAGACAGGACAAGTTTGGGTTTACCGGAAACAGGCGAAGTCGCCTGCGTAGAGTTTATTTTCGGTTTTTGTGTTTCACGAAGATCGGTTTGATTCAACTGTTCCTCAATCACGCCGGCCTTGGCTTGGTTCTTTTGGTTCGTGGGTATTTTTGGTTTAGGTTCTTTTTTCCGATCTTCACTGGAATACGATGTGCTGTTTTGTGAAGGTTTGTTGTAAGCAGTAGTTAATTTAGGGAAGTTGACAGTCCATTTTACCGGCTGTAAATAGACGTTCCTCTTTGAATACAAATCCGTAGTTATAAAATACATAAGCAATGAACCCACAGAGAGGAAAATAGTCACATATAGCAGTGAAGCCTTACACGTGTTAACGGGGTGAGACAGCCCTCTTGTGGTGTCGACCCTAATTCCTGCTTCCTTTTCCATTTGTCCTCAATACTTGGGTCACCCACAGATTGCCTCACAGGAAACAGGCATTGTATTCACACCAAGTACAAAATGTTACATAGGACAACTGAACACACGGCAAGAAGCAGTTCAATCCCCCAGTTAAAAGTGTCTTGTTTCTTTAAAACCCGCCACTATGTGCTACATGTGTGATTGAATAACTGAGATTGTCTTTACGTCGTCCTTGTCCACAGAGTGAACGTTGTTACGGAATACTGATATTACTTCCTAAGAGTCTTAACTGTGCATGTGACATATCTGAAAAAATGTCCAGTCCCCGTCTACCGGAATGTCCAGGCCCCGTCTACCAGAAATGTCCAGGCCCCGTCTACCGGAAATGTCCAGGCCCCGTCTACCGGAAATGTCCAACCCTGTCTACCGGAAATGTCCAGTCCCCGTCTACCGGAACTTCCAGTACATTTGCAGTGCAGGCATGTCAACTGAAATAAAGGAGAGAGCAACTTAAAACAAAGTCCACTCATAGGGACTCATTAACGCCGCCCCAAAGAAAACATACTCAAGGTAGAATTTTTATATTTTGATTAAAAAAATAATAATAATATCCAAAAATAATGCCTTCGGGTACCTTGTAATTTGTACGGGTTAAATCAACCATCACCATGTTATCTTTCACGTACCTACACACACATCTCGTATGCTTTGTGTCGCCTGGAGGTAAACGGTGTCATGTACCAAAATGCTTCGAAGAATATGATGTATAAAATATCATGGAATAGGCTTCACCTATGTTGCAAGATATTGTGTGCGTTACTCTGTTAAAAATTACATTATTAATAAACATATAAAGAGCCGCCTCTTTTGAAAGGGAAATTATGCAGTGGTTTTTTCCTGTTAACTTTCGTTTAGTATGTGTTTTACACGAGGGGCGGACAGCAGATTATGACTGCTGGCTTCTTGGGCTACATTCCTCATGACTGAAAACAAGTCTCCATAAAACTTAAAGGGATAATAACTCTTCGTATGAGGTCTATATTTCACAATAAAAATCATTGTGAACAACTCACAGATATATAATTATAGCTATTATTATAGTTATAGGTATTATTCTGATATCTGAGCTTGTCTTTACACCACGTCCATTGATGGCTTTACTCTGTTATAATCTCTTAAGGGATTATAACAAAATTTAAAAAAAAAAAAAAAAAAAAAAAAAAAAAAAAAAAACAGGGACTAACTTGGAATGTAAAAATGGATTCATTATCCATTGCTGAGTATGGGAAAAGTGTTTAATTCATTTTTTGGCCAAAGCGAAGATTTATACTCCCTTTAAGACAGGGCAGAACATGGCACGACATTCAACTTGCCACTTAGCGGACAGCCAGCTGACCCTACTTTGCATACAATTACAGGAGTTGGTTCTAAAAATAGAACTAGGCTTTAAATAAACATTATTGTAATTTTTAATCGCCAATCTAGAACTGTATCAGTAGCATTACATCATTTATCTTCGTACGCCGATTAAATTCTTAAAACTGTGTAGCATGATTTAATCACCGGGAATATATCTAAAACGGCTCAAAGACGTCCCTTGACTGCAGTCTAAACAATTGACTTAGCATGTTAAAAAATAAGCACCCCATGTCCATCTAAATATATAAAAGTGTCTGTTTGGCGTCTTTTTCTACGTTTAAAATTCAAGTCTTTGGGTGCTATACAGTGACCCTTGTTAAACCAGTTGGCCAGCGTCCCTGGCCGGAACCACGTGACTGGCTCACTGGGGTCGTTTAACTTGGCGCAGAGGTCGCAGTACGCCTTCAGTCGGTTCCCTGTGGTGTACTGATTCTTCCACTCTAAATATTGAACATAAGCCGTCACATTTTTGTCCAAATATTTCAGATAGGCTGCTAAATCTTTTGGAGATTTAAAATCGTTCGTATTGATGTGCCACTCGGGTTTTATTCCAACCCTGGAATAATTGGCCGGACCTCTTGTTACCGTCACTATGTCACGATCCAACATTTTCCAAAATTTCTCTGTGACGTAATCCGTTGAGATACTATTCTCAAAGGACAGGTAAAACTTGTAGTCCCTATTAATGTTCTCCAGGCATCTTTCGTTGTCCCGTTTGGAACATTTTAACGGACCACACCCACCGTACACGTCAACGGGGATGTGCTTCTTCAACTCTGCGACGTACCTCTCTCGATTACTCTTAGTGTGACAGTTACTGACCATCCAAGCTACTAACTTCGTCTTCTTCAGTGCTATTGCCGTGAAATTCTTGGCAAGGGGTTTTTCCCGCTCCACAACAAACTGATACGGTGTAAAAATTGTGGAATCTCGCCGAAATGTCATCGTCCAATTAAACATTCCCGCCCAAGCACCACCGGCTTCCCCGGAGTAACACGAGCTCTCGTGCGTTACCCACACCCAGCGCTGGTGAGGCAGTTTTTTAGGTTTCCTTCCCAAACTTCTGGCTATAAAAACAATAGCGTCGCTTTTATCAGCCAAAGACTTATCCTCAGTGTAGATACAGTTACTGACTGGGCAGCCCAAGCTCTTAAACTCAGGTTTTTTATAAGTTCTAAGTGTCATATAGTCCATGCCGGGCACTGGAATCCAAGACAGGACAAGTTTGGGTTTAGCCCAAAATGACCATCTATCTAGCTAGAGACATATCTGTGAATATCTGTAAAAATCTATCAGTCGCCCTGGTAGAGGGTAGTACCATCCGGCCCTCGTCGTCGACAACCTTGACCTCGACCCCCTCCTGGATTTTAAACCACCCGAGGGCGCCACTCTCTGTGTTGTCTGCCGTGTACTCTTCTGAAGGCCACCCGTCGATCTCAGTTGCTCAATAAATATTAACAATAATTAGACCCAGGTATTTCTCCACGCAGCTTTTTATAACATCTGTTTGAGTAACCTGCCCGGTTGTGAGGCCTTACAACCGGTACCCGTAAACAAGTACAACAAAATTAATAAAAAAACCCACGCACTGCTCTTCGGTACCTCCCTACACCTGAAGTCCCCACTGCACCAGATTTGTCCTTGGTTCTGGAAAAATATGCATTAGTTGACACCCTAGCCATCTAGTTTACACCAAAGTTAACCCAACCGACACGCTTAAATGTCATAAAGTATAGTTTAAGATCACTATTTTTCTCAGTATTCACATTCACAGCAGGTCGTTACTGGTTTATTTGGGCCTATTTGGTGGTTTCCGTCCTTCAGAAGAATTACCACTACTCTTTTAAACATCAAAAATTAAAACTTTAATGCACTGTTAACTGCCCCTACTAACATGGCTGAGAACAGCCGTTAAGGTACTGAGCTGTGATAAGCTGAAAATGTGCTTGCTGGATGGGGGAGGGGGGGGGGAGGACTATTGTGCCTGCTGAGACTTGTAATATTAGCAGCTTTAACACAGCAATACAATCATATGGACTTTACTACACTACGACCACGTCAACGAATATTGGATGCCAGGTTCTGAACAGTGTAAAACTATCTTAGATATGATGCAGCTCTTGGATCTGCCTCTTTCTTGGGTATATGATAGATACAATGCGCTTTTCTGAGTACGAAAATCAACTTTGAAAAGATACCGATAGATATATAATTAGACTTATAAAACGCCGCATATATTTAGACCTGCTAATTATATACTGGTGAAGTATTTGAAAGAAAACTGGTATATCTCAGTGTAACGTTAATTCTGTCTGTGTATTTTTTCTTTCTTATCTTTAATCAAAGTTAAACCCTCGCTTACTTGCGAGATGGGTAAGGCTTATGTAGTATTTCTTTATCTACTTAACCAACAACAGCAACGTACATGTATGTTTAATGTGTGAGGGAGCCGTGTTAGCTGATGCAAGGAATTCTACACACTTTCGTATTGTGTAAGCCTGAATACATGCATATTTTTATTTGATAGTTTAAAAATTAAAATAATTGTTAGAATTATTTTAAAGAATTTATGTCTAAAACATTAGTTAGTAGCTTAGTAAATGTATTTTTAAAGGACTCAAATTGTCTATAATACATTTTACTACCCTTTAATCGCGTTCAGCAGAATGTAATGCTCTTACCTTGATTAATGCAGTTGGAAATATAATTTCTCTTTTTGTATTTAAGGTGTACTTTCAGTGTGTCTACTCTTAAATGTGTCAAATATTAAACTTTTACGTACGGTATGCTTTTTTTCTTCCTTCCATTACAAAATAAGAGAGTTTTTATGGCTACTTCACCCGGTTAAATGCACCGATTGACCCCAAAAAAGTTCAGCCCCATACTTGTCCGGATATCTGTTCAGGAAAAAAATGAAAGCGATATGAACAAAATTGTGACCTGTAGAGTGCGAACAGACTTACATCTGAACACACACACAAACCGACTGGTGAACATGCCTTTAAATATTTCGAAGTAATAACAATAAAAAATATTTTGCCGCCGGCATTTTAAAGTTCTTTCTACAATAGCACAAGTTGGGAAATAGATATTAATTTTCAAACACCCGCACTTAGTGATGCAGGGGTAGAACAGGTAGGGGAAATCATGTCAGTGCATAGGACGCATTGTCCACCTATAGAATAGAATTGGATCTATATCGGCACGTGCATCAATTCAAGCAGAGACCTACCTGACAGTTCATGTTTTATCTGTGAGGTAGATGTCAGAGGATCGAGCAAAAAAGAAAGTTTGAACGCATTTGTTTGAGAAAGGTAAAATCTCCGTTCAATTAAAACAACATTTATATTTCTTTATTGTCTTCATCATGATTTTTTTTTACTTCGAGAAATATATGTATATTCGTACTGAGTAATTTGTGATATTGCCTGTGGAAAACTACCCGGAAGTAGTACTTGTAGCTCATACAATGTATTATGTATATGTACAAGTACTAGTATTACTACGTATACTGTCATTACCGGTATGGGAAAGTAATTACTATAATACACGTATTAGTAGCATAAGCATTGTAGGTAGGATTAAAGCCAGACGTTGTAATGTGTGATTAAAGAATAATTTGACAGTTATAGTTTTGACAAAAAAAAAAAAAAAAAAAAAAAAAAATATATATATATATATATATATATATATATATATATATATATATATATATATATATTGTTCATAGCCTCAGTTTGTCAATATCTATTATTAATAGGTAGTAGTTTATAAATAGTATACATGTATATGTTATGCAAAATGGGGACATTTATTCTGAGTCTTGATGACTTTTGCTGAAAAGGTATTCATCATTTTTTGCTGATATTGAGACTCAATATGGATATTTTGGGGTACAATATTTTATGTGAAGAGGTTGCATTATAAATCTAAGAAGATTGGGGCTAAATTGAAAAAAAAATATGAATAGTGCATTAGGTCACCAAACATTTTATGAACAATTATAAAGTTTAATTGCCATTGTTCGTATTTATTTTTGTAACTGATAACAGAGGATAACAGAGGTGTTATGAAATTGAAGTCAAAAGTCACCAATATCAATGCCAGGGAGGTACTAGCACATGTACTAGTATACAGATGTATCTCCACAGTTGATGTAAATATAAATATACTTGAACTTTTCACAACAAGTCTGCTATGTAGAGTGGTAACACCTGCAAGACACTGTTGTTCTGATGTAAAAATGACATTATGATTTTTTTTGGGGTGTATAAATTATTTGAGATACAACACTGGTAAGATACATTTAATTGCTAACTGGATAAAAGACAACCTGTAGTAGTACATGTAGGCCTAGGTGATGCTCCTGCAAGTAAGCTTAAATATAAAATATTGTAATGAAAATTTCAATTAAATTATTGTGAACACAGAAAAAAGTGCCTTTAAGTGCATTTGACTCATGCGCTGAATATTTAAACTTAGTTAATGTATAATTTATTCATTTTCAATGTACCAGTGCTGTTGTAATAAGCCCTGTAAATATCTATTGCGGAGATTCAGAAGAATTTCAGAAAACTCGACTTTTCTGCTAAACGGTAGTTACACGTGAGTGTAAACACGTTTAGCAGTGGTTCTCTCCCTGTCTAAAAACCCCCTGGGTAAGAGCCACCATCCACCCCATTTTCAGCTGTCAAGCACTCGTTGGGTGAAGATTCCCAGACGCAGTAGAGCTACACTCGAGGTTCCGATTGAGAGGACTTGTTCTCTCTGGCAGGTTCACTGGGGCGGTAGTAAAAGCAGTTGGTTGGTGTCGCAGGGTTCACGCCGTGTCGGGACCCTTAGCTGTTGGTTGGTGTCGCAGGGTTTACGCTGTGTCGGGACCCTTAGCAGGTGGCTGGACGGAGAACGGGAAGTTGGGCTCTCCCGTGGGTTCGTGCCGTGACGGAACCCAAGGCAGGTGGTTTGTCGCAAGGTTTACGCCGTGTCGAGACCCCTAGCAGGTGGCTGGACGGAGAACGGGAAGTTGGGCTCTCCCGTGGGTTTCTGCCGTGACAGAACGCTAAGTAGGTGATTGGTCGGAGAGTCCGGGTCGTGTCGGAACTCTAGGCAAGTGGTTGGTTGGAAAACGGGAAGCAAGCTGTCCCGAGGGTGTGCGCCGTGCCAGCACCCTAAGTCGTTGATTGAAGGAGGGAAGTCTACCGCTTAGACTCTCCCAAAGGTGCGCACCGTGTTGGCACTTGTAGCTGTGGGCCGGTAGAAGAGGAGCCACTGCTGTCACAGTCTCCCACCGATTGGAAGTTTATGCAGAACTAAAACTGGACATTAACTGAATATATCCAAAGGACACATATTTAACGTGGACTTAAAGACAATAACTGAATATCAGAGTGGGCATTATTACCACATTGCATTTTGTTGGATTTTAATAAACATTTTGAACCTTTTTACATCAGCAGTTTGTTTCTTGGATTTGAACCTTTAAAACAATGACGAATCCCTTTTAATACTGTACGGACTGAAGTACCAACATAAAATCCGTTACAATATAAATATATAATTTAAATATATTGAAAATACCGGAGAGGAGTTAAAAGTGCACAAGGTTTTTTATTATTACAGTACGTGCTCCTATTATTAGCTTTTAAGAAGAATGTACATTGATTTTCCAAAATGGGATATAAATGTAAGTTGTTATTCCGTAACTGAGGAGAACATAATAAATATGTTCAAGTAAATACTTTTATGCTTTGCATTCATAATTTTGATTTATATTTATTCACTCATAAAGTATTCCGATTTAACAGATTGTACACTGAAATTAAATCAGTAAGAATATAATGCGATGCAGGTTAGATTGGCTGTATTGTTGTAACATGTTTGACCTAGTCTGACCTAGATTAAGGATTGGATAAAATAGGTCACTGATTGAACTCATGAATATGCAGATATAGGCCCCAGTTGAAAATGCGTACTCAGTAATGACATGTTTTTTCTACCCGTTATATCCCTGTTTCACTTAGTACGGGTGTTTGTAAACGAATATCAATTTTTGAGGCGTACTTTTGTGGAAAGAATATTTGTATGCCGGCGACAAAATATTTACTGATATTTTTATTCAGCCGCTTTCCCACCAACATGTGACACAGCTAGAACAACATCCCCCACAGATTGTGACCTGTTGTGAAGACAACTGGGGTTAAGAACCCACAATGCAACGCAAATCCTTTGTTAAGATTTGTTAAGGTGTTTACGTAGCTTCTAGAAGATATGCATCGAGAGTATATTTGATAACCAGGCACGCAGCCGGGGGTGTTCGGGAGAAGGTCTGCTCTGAACCAAAATTTGATCCACAATGTAGGTACCATGATATTTCACAAGTTATAACGAGCCAGAAGTTTCTTTGTCATTAAAAGGCTATCTGAGGAAAAGCAATTACCCCTTGTAGAACAAACAATTGCCACGTAGCTTTCCCCGTAGCGGCGGTTTAACTCTATTCCTACTGGGTGGGGTCGTCTTCTGTGTACGTTTCCAGGTACATTTTTGTTGGCGTAATTTTCGAACTAATTATTGTTTTTCGTGAAATTTCATGAATTCATAACTTTTTTGGTCGCTTTTAAGAGATATGTTTGTAGATTCGAAGTCGTTTATTGTAATCGTTCTACACGCCCCTACGAAAAAAGTCACCCCTAATGCAATGCCTAAAGTGATACAAAAGCCATATTTTTGTACTATGTACAATATATTCTGGATTGGAGGACGCACCTGTCGCGTCTGTGCCTGTAGTCAAAAAGTTCTGTAACGTTTACACAGTGATGGCGTTTCATGCACATACGGTGCAAAGGTACTGTAGCATGAGATCATTTTGTTTTCAGGGTTATCCATCATTTATCTAAGGATAGAGCTGGTCATTGGGGGGTCTGGATCTAGTTGGCATATAAGGTATATCCAGCCTACACCATAGTAGCCAATACACCCTATACATGCCTTATGTGGGGTGCGTCATTGGGGGGGGGGGGGAGATTTAGATATGGTTCGCATATAACCAGTCAACAGTTGCATTGGTTGTACGTGGAGTAGCATTGTCATGCTGAAAACATAACTGGGTGATCATGGTCCCAAAAGATACATTCTATAATAATTCCTTAAATGTCCTCTCCGGTACTTGGATGCATGGGTCTGTGATAAAGTTCCCGTTGACCACTGTCAGCTCGCATACATCGCCTACATTACTTGGAAAGGGGTTGGGACAACCTTTTAGATCAGTGTTGTATGTAAATTTGAAGTTAACGTTTTGAGACCTTGCATTGCGGTCAAATGGAATAATGCAATGGATATACTGGTTTGATCTGGTTTGGTAGCCCTGATAATAATAATAATAATAATAATAGTAGTAGTAGAAGTAGTAGTAGCAGCAGCAGCAGCAGCAGTAGTAGTAGTGAAAGGTGCGCTCGCAGTAAATGAATTAAGCGTAAGCATCGTCTAAGACAGCTGAATGTTAAACTGAATGCATAGAACAGAAAAAAAATGAGGGGGAGGAAAGAAGCCGAAATCGCGTTTTGCCAAATATTATGCACATTTAATGGTAATGGTGATGATTGAAGATAAGTAATTTTAGAGAAGTTTCTTATAACATTTCAATAACTATGTGGCACATTTATCGATTTGCCTGCCCCTTTAAACTAATGAGAGTGACTTGAATGAAGAAGAGCATCACATATTAAAAGCACAAGGCTCTTGTGACACTAAAAATGCAAGTGATTGTGATCCAGAGGTTTAGAATTAAGAATAGTAGCAACGCCTTATAAAAATGGGGTGACATTTGTTATATCAGACTATAAAGTTCTGTGTGGGTATAACGTAAAGTGCATGCTCTGCAAGTTTCCGATATGTATTTCAGAGTCATCATGAATGAAGATCAAAAGAAGAGGATCAGACAGCAGTATGTCTACCTGGTCAACAACCTGACAGACCCGAGGAGTACAGGGCTTGTTGAACACCTGTACCAAGATGGCGTCATTGAGGAGAGAGATCGCCAGATTGTGGAGAGTAAACCAGCGACAAAAGATGCCATAAAACATCTGCTAGATTCCGTGATAAACTCTTCACATCAGGGCGCATTTGATCGTTTCCTCAAACTTTTAAAAGAATATGGACAAGACTACTTGGCCAATGGTTTAAGACAAAGTACCAGTTCTGATGGAACAGGTGAATAATCTAATACCAACTGTATTTCAATAAGGCGATGGCTAATTTATGCTTTTTCGTTCTTACTTGTATATTTAAAGGGATAACAACTCTTCATATTTTAGTGGTAGCGGTGGGGTAGCGTAAAAATAATTGTTTCTTTAAGTATGATTTTCGTAATGATCTCTTAAGAGATTGTTTCCGTAAAATTTTAGGAGAAGAATATGGACAAGACTACCTAGCTTATGTTTTAAGACAAAGTGGTGAAACAGGTAAATATATAGCCTAATACCAATTGTATTGCAATGATCTGGTTCTATTCAGTGATGTGTTTACATCCGTATTAATAAATATGGAATTGTAATCGTTCATAAATTATATGCATAATGTAAGTTTGGTCATAGCTCGCTGAGGGCTTGCAGAAACTTTCCATTCCGAACAAACATTGAAATACAATTTAAGAAATGTTATAGGCCTAAACGATTTTTCACTTACAACATACTTAGTAAAATGTGTTATAAATTATTTGAATTTCTTGGCAGTAAAAAGTGTCCCTTTCCTCGTTTCGTTAAAAGCAAGGTTATCCGTTCATTCAACTTATACAAGCGTATGACAGTGTTAAGACAACGATAAATGCTCTCATCTATGTTTCAATCATGTAGCAAATTTATGTAGATATCCGTTTTGTGCATTACTAACGCATAAGATTTGTAACCATTATTAACGATATACACTTATTATTTATTCTAATTCTAGGTTTGTGTGACGTGTGTCCAGAAGACAGTAAATCCCCTGCCACCTCCGTGTGTTTGGACTGTAACCAACTCATGTGTTCTACGTGTGCCGGCAGTCACAGGAGGGCAAGGGTCTCGAAAAAGCACAGATTGAGGGAATTAACAGCTGCAGCCTCAAACAAATGTCAGGTACACCCATCCATTTATCTTAACTCCTACTGTCCCCAATGTGACGTCCTTGTCTGTGAGCGATGTATGGTGGACACACACAAAGGACACGCCGACGCTTGTATAGACGCAATAACAGCGGCCGAGGACTTGAAACTTAAAGTTAACAGGGTTATTATTGAAATCAAAGATATAACTCTCAACAAATCTTCGATAGAAAAAGAAGAAAAGAAACGACTCACCGACTTGGACAGGCAAAGACAACTCGCCAGACAGGCTATTGAGACACGAGAAGACAAACTTTGCAAGCTGGTGAAAACATGTGCTGAAGAAGCCAAAGACAGTGTAGACAAATCATATTTTGATTTAAAATTTCAGCTGCAAATTACCAATAAAATAGCATCCCTTGAAAAACAACTTAAAGCCTATGAAAATATGGTGAATGACGCTTCCGTCTCAAGTGTAGTTAAAAATCACGAGGAATGGGAGACTTCACTAAAGGAAATTTTGGAGACTCATTCCCCCACCTCTCCCGTGCCGGTCCTAATGTTTCGGACCAACACTGTAGTAAAAACAGCCATACAGCAGGCAATGGGTGCAGTGGTTATAGGAGAGATCACGCCGACATTGATCACACAACACCAATTGCAGTGTTCCAAAGACCCAAAGGAATGGCCGATAGCTGTGGACAGCATGTCTGGTGGTGACGTCGTGATGGGGACGGGGTGTATTGCTGATAAAACCCAGCGTCGTATCATCATCTGTTCCTCCACAGGAGACATCAAGAAGGAGATCAAGGTTACGGGACTGAATGGACTGACAGTACTACGTGATGGTACAATAGCAGCTACTGTATGGGACGGCAGTACACAGGAAGTGAGGATATACACTAAAGACGGTGTTGTGAAATCATCGTTCAAGTGCAGCACACCTGGTCGTATTACAGTGAACCACGAAGGTCACATGGTCGTGATAGATTCTAGTACAGACACATGTGGTAATGTAATGGTATATCATGCTGACGGTACACAGATCAGGGTATTCACTGACACCTCATCAAAACCAGTACAATATGCCAAGTACATAACAACCACACCCAGTGGTGACGTCATAGTATCAGATCCCAATGACCGCTGTATACGTGTCTACACACCTGAGGGTCAGCTACAGTACACGTACGGTGGAGAGGGCGTCATGAAGGGTTCACAGGGTGTCTATGTGGATGAAGATGGAACTATATTTATCTCCGATCTCAATGCTGACAACATCCACCAGGTGTCTCCTGCTGGTCAGTTCATGCGATATGTGTTGACAGCCATGGATGGACTGTGGGGACCCAAGGACGTGTGCATCAACCAGGAAGGGCACCTCGTGGTAGTTCAAGATGACGGATGGATCAAGACATACAAGTATAAATAACACATATGATGTTATTTATTCCTGGTCTGTGATCAAAATAGACGCCCAGCCTTCAATCTGAAAACCGCCGCGTGTATTGAAGATAATGTTTACATACTTGATCTGCATATGATCATACCTGTAAATGAATATCACATATTGAACTTGAATATTAGATATGTATATTTTTATAGATATAATACTGTGAGACCATATCCCAGTTCTTTCACTGCTAGAAACTGTATATATTTGCCTAATTCCAAACAATTTTAATTTGATTCTAAGATTTCGGAAGATATGTGAGTCGGGCAAAGATTATGACCACATTTCCAGAGATTAGATCGATCTACCTTAGATCGACCCAACTCCCTGGGGGTTCACGCTATATAGCTGTCAGCCGAGCGGACACGAAAGTTAATTACCCCCTTACAGCTTGTTGTAGGCGGGACGGACATTTAAGCCGGATTATCTGACAGTAATCTAGTGATCGAGACTCCCCGCGGGGATAGATCGATCTAAAAGCTCTGGGAATACAGCCTATAAGTCAAGTAGAATCGTAAAAAAATATTATTACTTTTAAGTTACTTTAAAAAGTGACAGATTATAGATGTTTCTATATAGGTGTCCTTTATTTAGGAATACAGACATTTTTCGCCTTTAAACTTAAAAAGTTTTGAATCAACCACGTCCTTATCTTGTCTTTAAATCCTCTTTCATCTGAGACAGTCGGCGTGGATTTCGTAGTGGTGGTTTGATACTGAAAAGGGTAACAGTAACAAAAGATTGATTTGAAGCGTACAAGTAAATTGTTAATGCATAATTTATTTAGCAATTCATACTTTTAGGAATTAGCATCATTCAGGCTTGTTTTATTTTGTAATGCCATCTATCGTCACCACGTTCGTATCAGCGGTGTGGACATCAGTCTGAAGTGAACATTTTAAAATTAAATTAAAAATTAAATAAATAAATAAATAAATAAATTTAAATTAATTTTTTTAAATTTAAAAATAAAATGATAACATCATAGCTATATTTTGCTGTGTGATTATGTTTGTTCTTCTTTATCAATAAAACTTATCTCCCAACTTTGTTTTTTTTTATTTTAGAAACATACTCATGCTGTTTTAAGAGAAATTAAATGCCTTTGTATAATTTATTTCACAAACAAATTAACAAATAAATGAATAAGAATTAAGTAGAAGGAGAGATGGAGTCACGCGTGACAGGGCTCACACAGCATAAATAGATGAATAAAAAGTCCACATTGTTTTTGTAGTTAAATTAAAATTCTTTTGTTTGATGCCCACTTTAATTTACTGAGAAACTAATTGAAATATTTTACCATTTTTTCCAAAGTCAACAGGATGGCTACCGCGTCGTACGTTATAATTCGAAGCTAATCAATGTCAGTGTTTTCACACTGGTACACTATTAGTATCAAACTGCATGAATACAAAGAGTAAGTACTTGGGCAAGCGGCCCAAAAATCTTATCGGTTCCCAGACGCCTTGTGCAAGTGAACTTATCATAACTGCGGGGTTTGAATTTAACATCGTGTAATGCTGACGGTCATATTATAATATCATGAAGTACGGACAATGTGGTAGCGAAGCTAGTTTCACATCTAGCACATTCAATACACTGACAAACCCGTACAGTGACGATGGTGTAAATGGTGCTATTGTTACGTGTGAAGACATGTTTTATTCTTTTCTTGAAAGGAGACATACTGCCATTTTAGTATTATGTACAATATATTCTGGATTGGAGGACGCACCTGTCGCGTCTGTGCCTGTAGTCAAAAAGTTCTGTAACGTTTACACAGTGATGGCGTTTCATGCACATACGGTGCAAAGGTACTGTAGCATGAGATCATTTTGTTTTCAGGGTTATCCATCATTTATCTAAGGATAGAGCTGGTCATTGGGGGGTCTGGATCTAGTTGGCATATAAGGTATATCCAGCCTACACCATAGTAGCCAATACACCCTATACATGCCTTATGTGGGGTG